CCCTCTGCCTGTTAATCAGTGTAACGGTCTTTTGCATTTGATGTTTTGTTAAAATGAAAAAAATCAATAAAACAGATTTATTTAAGAGATGTGTCCTATACCCCTCAGTAATAGTCAGGTAACACAAAAGCCTTTTATTTATTAATATGATTCTCTTGAGGTTAAATTTACAATTTTTTTTTAAAATTGAAATCGAGGGGTATAGTGACAAAAAAAAGACCCAGAGGTCCACACCAAAAGTATTAAAACCAACATTTTCATGGATAAGGAAGCCTAACAAAGTAATCAAGAGATGAGAAACAAATTGGATGATAACTTATTGTTTTTAGTATATTTTATAGCTGATTTAATTCACGGGTCAAAACCGACCCGCTAACATAAGAGATGATAACAGAAAGCTAACACAAGAGGAAGGTTAAGGAAGAAATCCATACGAAGGAAATTCAAAGGCAAGAAACAGAAATAGCACAAAGACAAAAGGCTCTTGAAGCTAAGCGCAGAGAAGTAGAGCGACTTGAGACTGTAAAAAAGCTGAATGCAGCAAAGGCTCGACAGCGGGTGTATGAAAAAAGTGAATGTTCAGATGAAGAAATATACAACCTACTTCACCACAGATCTGACAAGAAAAGTGAAGTCAAGTCTGAAAACAATGACCAGCATATGAAACGGTGTTCCTCACCACAAAATGTGACACCGCAACGAGAAGTGAGCACAGAAGATCTGGTCAAAGCATTTGCAGTGTTTCTTAATGCAAGTCGTCTTCCGGTACCAGAGCCAACAATATTCAGCGGCGACCCTATCAGATACAGTATAATGATTGGAAAATTTCCTTTCAGACTCTGACCGACAGGAAAAATATACCAGTTGAAGAGAAGACTTATTACCTGAGGAAATATATAAGTGGACCTGCAAGGAAGGCAATAGAAGGCTACTTCCTGCTTGGCACAGAGTCTGCATACTATACAGTTCTCGAAGAGAGGTATGGCAATCTCTTCCTCATAGCAAAGGCCTTCAGAGACAAACTTGACGCATGGCCTAAGATAAGCTCTAAAGGCAGTATGGAACTTCAAGCATTTGCTGACTTCCTTTGCTGCTGTAAGACAGCCATGTCACAAATGACGGGGCTTGAAGTGCTCAATGACTGCAATGAAAACCAAAAAATGCTTGCAAAACTTCCAGATTGGCTGACTTCAAGGTGGAACAGAAAGGTTACAGAAGTGCAAGAAGAGACTCACACCTTTCCAAGCTTCAGCCAATTTGTAGATTTCATCTCACGGGAAGCCATAATTGCCTGTAATCCCATAAATTCTCTCTTTGCTCTGAAGACAAGTGAAACTGAAGGGGCAAAAACAACAAGGAACAGAGGCAATGGAGCAAAGGTGCTAGCAACTAACTCAAAAGTACTGTGAAAGGTCGGGTCACAGCCTACTTAAGTGTAGAAGGTTCATAAATGTGAGCATTGTTGAGAGACTAAAGTTTGCTCAAGACAAGAAGTTGTGTTTTGGCTGTCTAAACTCTGGTCATCGCTCCAAGGATTGTGAAAGCAGAGAAACCTGTGACACATGTAATAAAAGACATCCAACATGTCTTCATGAAAATTGCACTAAGGAAGAAAAAACAAGGAGAAATCAAACCAAGAACAGTGACAGGACAAGACAAACCAACTCAGACGTCTCACAAGACAACAGTGTCACACCAACAACAAGTGAAGCAACTTCTAACAGAGTCACGCAGAATGTCCACGACACTCACACATCTTCCATTATTCCAGTATGGGTGTCAACCAAAGGTGAGCCAGAGCATGAAATTCTTGTGTACGCGCTCCTTGATACACAGAGCGATACAACCTTTATTCTTGAAGAAACGGCACAAGCTCTGCATATCAAAGGTGAATCGACTCAGCTAAAGCTCACTACCATGTCTTCAAGAAACACAGTTGTGGCCTGTCGCAAGCTCGCAGGTCTACAAGTCAGAGGGTTCTACTCAAATAAGACCATTTCCCTACCAGTAACATATTCCAGAGACTTTATTCCCGCAAACCGAGATCACATTCCATCGCCTACAACAGCTAAGGTATGGCCTCATCTTGAATGCATTGCAAGTGAGATCGCTCCACTACAAAGCTGTGATGTTGGTCTGCTGATTGGGTACAATTGCCCCCAAGCACTTGTTCCTCGTGAGGTTGTGTCTGGAAGGGAAAACCAGCCGTCCGCCCAAAGAACTGATCTGGGATGGAGTATTGTGGGTTATGGCAACCCATGTTTCGATTATGGAGATGCCTTCGGAATAAGTCACCAAGTCATTGTGAAGCAAGTGGTGCCTGACATTCAGCCTTCTTCAAACCTCACTAACAAGGTTCACTATGTCTACAGAACTTAAATAAAGGAAATGATCTCTCCCACAGAGGTCCTAAAGATGTTGGAGTCTGATTTTGTTGAGAAAGCACCAGAAGACACAAAGGTCTCTCAAGAAGATCTCAAATTTCTAACAAAGATGAAGACCGGCATTAGGCTCAAGGAGGATGGTCATTTTGAAATGCCACTCCCATTCAAGAGTTAAAGGCTGAACCTGCCGAACAACAAGGCATGTGCTATTCATCGCCTCAAATGTTTAGAAAAAAGGCTCAAGAGTAACAAGCAGTACTACATGGACTATAAGAAATTCATGGATGAGATCCTAGCCCATGGAGATCCTGAAAAAGTCCCAGAGCAAGATATTGACAAGACACCAGTTTGGTACATCCCACACCATGGTGTGTATCATCCACAAAAACCCGGAATGATTCGTGTTGTCTTTGATGCCTCTGCCAGGTTCCAAGGCACTTCACTAAATGACCATCTCCTGACTGGTCCAGAGCTAACAAACACTTTGCTCGGAGTCTTGTGTCGCTTCCGAAGAGGCCCAGTGGCTTTCATGTGTGACATCGAACGCATGTTCCACCAATTTCATGTGCATGCTTGCGACCAAGATTACCTACGGTTCTTGTGGTGGGAGAACGGTGACCTTGAAACTCCATTCACTGTCTACAGGATGAAGGTACACCTATTTGGAGCAGCATCTTCTCCAGGTTGCGCCAACTATGGCCTCAAGCATCTTGCAGCTGAAGGGGAAGGAAGTTTTGATGAAGAAACCATCAAGCTCATCAAAACCAACTTCTATGTTGATGACGGACTAGCAAGTGTTGACACTGAAGATCAGGCAATACAGCTGTTTAATGAAGCACGCAAACTCTGCAGCATGGGCAAACTTTGGTTGCACAAGTTCATCTCAAACAGCACCCAAGTTCTAGCTTCGCTTCCGAAGGAAGAATGCGCTGCAGCTCCCAAAGATCTAGATGTGGCACTCTGTGAAGTACATATGGAAAGAGCACTTGGTGTACAATGGTGTGTGGCATCAGATCAATTTCAGTTCAGAGTAGTTGTTAAGGAAAAACCACTCACCAGAAGAGGAGTATTGGCCACAGTCGCCTCTGTGTTCGATCCACTTGGGTTTGTGTCACCTTTCATTCTGCTGGGAAAGCCTATCTTGCAACAAATGTGTCGAGATAAACTCAGCTTAGATGATAACTTACCTGACAGACTTCGACCTCAGTGGGAGTCTTGGTTGCAGACATAAAGGTTCACAGATGCTACATTCCTTCGAACTTCAAGGCACAGCACTACAAACTTCATCATTTTTCTGATGCAAATGCATCTGGATATGGAATGTGCACTTACCTCAGAGCAGTAAGCACAACTGGTGAAGTCCACTGCTCATTGGTGATGGGAAGATCAAGAGTTCCACCAACCAAAGTCACAACTATACCTCGGCTTGAGTTGTCGGCGGCCGTTGTTGCTGTGCGCACTGGTGACATGCTGAAAAAGGAATTGGAAATGGAAATTTCAGAAGAAAGGTATTGGACTGACTCGAAGGTGGTACTCGGATACCTCAGCAATGAAGCCAGAAGATTTCATGTGTTTGTTGCAAACCGAGTGGAACGCATCAAACAAAGCACAGATTCAACCCAATGGAGGTATGTAACTTCCGAAGATAATCCGGAGGACCACGCCTCAAGAGGCCTCACAGCAGAACAACTTGTAGCATCAAACTGGTTCAAAGGCCCAGACCTCCTTTGGCAGAAGGTCATACCCAGTGGTGAAATTAAGGTGGGAGAGTTATCAACCAGTGACCCGGAGGTTAAGAAGGTTCAAGTCCACAAGATACAAGTGGAGGAACAAAGGTCCTTGTTAGATCGCCTACACAAGTTTTCCAACTGGTTGAGAATGATTAAGGCAATTGCTAGACTCAAGCGGTATGTGAAAGGAGCAAAGCATCACAAGAATAGATCACACGACATCAGTAGCCTACAAGAGAGAAAGGAAGCAGAGTTAACAATCATAGGGATGGTTCAAGAAACAGCCTTTGCTCAGCAAATAAAAACCTTGCAACACCATGATGTGATGCAGATGAAAGACAAGGTTAACAAGTTAAACAAGTTATGTCCATTTCTTGATGACTAAGGCATTCTTTGGGTAGGCGGACGCTTAACACATGCAGCTTTGCACCCCAATGTCAAGCATCCTGCGATCCTGCCAAGAGGCAGTCACGTGTCGGCATTACTGGTCAAACATTATCACAAGAAGACATACCATCAAGGACGAGGGATCACCATGAATGAACTTTGAGCTAACAGATTCTGGATTCTTGGATGCAGCAAGATTGTGTCATCTTACATCTATAAATGTGTAAAATGCAGAAGGTTCAGAAGGCGCACAGAGCAGCAGAAGATGGCAGACCTCCCAGAGGATCGGATGGAGACCACACCACCATTTACCTACTGTGGGATGGACTGCTTTGGTCCTTTTTATGTCAAAGAAGGCCACAAGGAGATAAAGCGTTATGGTTTGCTAATCACTTGCATGTGCTCCAGAGCAGTGCATCTTGAAATGCTTGACGATCTCTCTACAGATTCCCTCATCAACTCCTTACGTGCATTCATAGCCATCAGAGGTACAGTTCACCAGATAAGATGCGATCCAGGCACGAATTTTGTCGGCACTAGAAATGAGTTTATTGGACCATTTAAGGAAATAGATCAAGCCAAGCTAGGGAAACTGGACTGCGAGTTTCTCATGAACACCCCAGCATCTAGTCACATGGGTGGTGTCTGGGAAAGACAAATTCGCCCCATAAGAAGTGTTCTCATGTCCATTCTGGAACAATCAGCCAAACAACTCGACAGCTCCTCTTTGAGGACATTCCTGTATGAAGTCATGGCAGTGATTAATAGCAGACCATTGACTACTGACCAACTATGTGATCCATCAAACCCAGAACCTTTAACACCGAATCACATACTAACCATGAAGTCCACAATCATCTCTCCACCTCCAGGAAAGTTTGTGAAAGAAGATCTTTATCTCCATAAGAGATGGTGTCATGTTCAATTACTTGCCAACACTTTCTGGACAAGGTGGAAAAAGGAGTATTTGTTAAATCTTCAAGGCAGACAGAAGTGGACCAAAGAGCACAGAAATGCTAAGATCAATGATGTTGTCCTCCTGAAGGATGAGATAACTCCACGCAACCAGTAGAAGTTGGCAAGGATCATTGAAGTGTATCCTGGAAAGGATGGAAAAGTGAGGAAGGTGAAATTGCTGCTGAGTGATCCAACCCCGGATAGAGCAGGAAAACGTACCTCCAAACCTGTGCACCTGGAAAGACCCATTCAGAAAACAGTCATTCTGATGGAAGCGGAAGAAGATTCTCCACCGCACTCTGCTTAAAGGATAATTCATGATAGTTCATTCAAAAGCCGTTCGTTAGTTCATAGGCAATACTTTATTCTTTAAAATCACAAGTGATTGGTGGGAGTGTAACGGTCTTTTGCATTTGATGTTTGTTAAGCTGTATGTCTGGATTTTGTTCTTTTGCGCCCTCTGGTGGTGAACTGTGTAGGGTACAGTTTTGCTGTTTGGGTCTCCACCTAGACACTTTTTCTTTTGCTAACGCACATGGTGTCTGCATGCTGCAGTTCACAGTTAGCTCCACACATGGAGAAAATATCGTTCAAAGAGTAGAAATAATTGAGAAAGAAAATGGAGGATAAGGCAATAAGGACATAAAGGACTATTTAGCACCTCCTAGGTTTGTGTGTTTTAAATGTTTTATTTTCTGTAATTAAGGACTTTTGATTGATTGGCACTAAGTAAAAGAGCACATTTTAATGTGATGTTTTGTTTATTGTTTGTCCGTGAGCAGTTCTTACGGGTTGCCAAGACCAGAATAAACCCTGTTCTATAACTACATCGTGTGTACGTCAATCCTTGGTGCTACAATCAGCATTATTCTTTCTGCTTCAGCCATGGCAGCCTCAGTGCAGCAAGATCTAAATTATTATTTATTTGACTGGCAGAGAGGCAGATTAGCTTCCAATGGTTAATTCATTCCCCTTCTTAATTTTTTAAAAGTTGGCCTGATGGCACTGCCAGTTTTTTTCACAAGAGCCGGGCTAAGGTTCGTGGTGGCCTTGTAGTAACCAGAGATAGAGAACGTGTGAGGGCACCCGCGCTATTACTTCTGTTTCCATGGTAACAGCTGCTTGGTTGCTTTAGGAGCCAGGTTTCCCTAGGAGATGAAGCTGGTGTGTGTTTGTGCATTCGTTAGTGTGTGTATGTGTGCACATGTCCGTGCATGTGTGTGGAAAAGGCGTTTTTGCCAAGGCCGTCTGTGCAACCCGCAGAGGCCCTGATTTCAGCCCCGAAGGGCTGGATAGAAAATAGGTGTGGTCTGGTGTAACGCCACTGATGTGAAACGCTCTTCCTTCCCTTATAAAGGCATAAAGACTATACAGGAGCTCCTCCCACTCAGCAGAGGGGAGGACAGGCAGGGAGCGTCTCTCAGACCACAGTTGGGGTGGATTTTATGTCACTGATAATTCGGACTCCTTATCATTATCATCATTATCATCATCATCGTTTATTTATATAGCACTTTAAAAACACACAAGGCTGACCAAAGTGACTCCTTAGTGTAATGAAACAAGGACAAAGATGTTGCATTAAATGATATCTACTTTTAACAGATTCTCAAGTGCTTATCTTTTTTAGAATCACAAATGTCTCATTACAGTTTTACAGATTGTACATTTTGCTTACACTTTCTGAATCGTAGTTTAGATATTGATTGGAGAACAAGTTGGGCTGTGCAGTAAAGGATTCCTGATGCAATCATATCAGTAACATGTGCAAATGATATGGGATCCAAAGTAACATTTATGTGTTTTACTCTGGCCTGTAGTGCCATTTATCTGTCTATATTGTTTGCGCGTGGGTGCACCAGTTTTGGAGTTTTTGGCTGCAGAGTAACCAGGTCATGATTTCTGGAAAGAAATACTGATACTTAGTTTTTGTGACTTTTTTGGCTCCTTAAGCACCACAAGTTCTGTTATATTCAAGAGATGGCTGACATGTCTGCTCCCCAAATTGCTCACATTGGGCAACTCACAACACACTCGCAAAACATATATCTAATTTTGTCCTCCAGTTCAGCTGTCTCTTCAAACTCTAACCAGCAGATGCCACCTTAGTCTTCCACATCTTTAAAAAAAACAGTGTTTTTACACTTTTGTGTGTTTGTTTGTTTGTTTTTACACACACACACACACACACACACACACACACACACACACACACACACACACACACACACACACACACACACACGTGTAAATGTGTGTGTGAATGGGTGCATGACTGGTTGTGTAAAGCGCTATACAAGCGCGCTATACAAATACAGGCCATTTACCATTTATCCTCTTCCTTTTGTCTTTTGCAGTATTTGCTGCTCATACAACTTGGGCCTGCACCTTTATGCTGTCCCACTTACTCTGTGTGTGTGTGTGTGTGTGTGTGTGTGTGTGTGTGTGTGTGTGTGTGTGTGTG